TTAAAAATAATGACCTAATCTCACAGATAGTTACCAAAGAAACCCTACTAAAAAGTGTTCAATTTAACATGCTCTCAAAAGCAACTAGAAAGATGTTTTGAACCCAGTGCTATTGTACGTATCTGCTGTGAGAAGCGGGCTGAAAAAACTCCTGCCTGTTGCAAAGCCTGCCTTAGCCATGCCTAATTTTTAACCAGAGTGAGGTGCATCACTAAAGCACGTCTCCTCTCCTTATTCCTTCAGTTCAATTTTTCTCATTTCTGGTTAATTTAGAGCTCGGCTCTAGAAGTGCATGAATATCTGCAGCTGAATTAAGAAATGGTTTAAATGGAAAACTTGATTCTTCTTGGCCTGATTACATGAGCACAAATCAAAAATGATTCCATGGAAATCCATGGGACTGTAGTGATGTAATCTCCGTATAAGCAGGAAAAGTAGATCATTTTTCTTACTTCTCATTGAAAAATAGTTTTTACTTTACATACATACTTATTCCACGGAACTGCTCTTTATCAAGCCAACTTAAACAGCAGACATTTGGTGTAAAGGGGAATTTTATGTTTTCCAAAACTAATGATGAGAAGACTTCTGTTTTTCAACAGCAATGTGTATTTTACCCAAAGCCATGTTATTAAAGTCAATAATTCATATTTTTGCCTTACTATTGTAATTTGGCTTCATTTTTAGCACTATGTAAGCAGAGGCAGGATTCAGCCATCTATACTGCTTAACCTCCTTGTTAGTGATCATATGGTATTCCTTTAGCACTGAAGTGGCTAATGTAAGTATTCATTATAGCATGTTCCAGTGCATCTAACAGTGTCACTTACATTTAAATCTAAAGCACACCTAAATGAAAACTCAACTACATGGGGTTTATTCTTGCTCTTTCTTAAATTGCTCTCTATTCCAAAACTTAACCTCACGTGTTGAAACCTGCAGAGGCACATTGAGGATAATGAAGAACCATTTGACTGGCACAAGAAGTTGGGACTAAGTCACAACTGGAAGATCCCAGGTACCTTCCCATGACACCAGAAAGTAACGGAAGCGAAGCCTCTGCTTAAGAGGTGACAAACCAGCATCATTTCCCTGTGACACAGATTGTGTGGAGCCCCCGTGGTACTGCAGCAGGTGGGTCTGATCTTTATAAAGAGAAATCTCTGCCCAGGAAGCCTGTCTGCCTAAGCCAACGCTATGTGGCAGGGAGGAGTGCTCGAGAGGGAAGGTGAGATTGGATGTTGTATGTTCTATTCAAGATACTATTTGCGCCAGGGGAAGTTTAGACTGGCTATTGGGAAAAATGTCTTATGGCTTCTCTGTAAGGGCGGTTAGACCTTGGAACAGGCTGCCCAGGGCAGTGGTGGAGCCACCATCCCTGGAAGTGTTCAATAACTATGTAGGTGAGACCCTTAGTGACATGGTCCAGTGTTGGATTTAGCAATGCTGGGGTAACGGTTGTACTTTATGATCCTAAAGGTCTTTTCCAACCTACCTGATTCTGTGATTCTATTCTGTGAAAGCTGACTGCAGCTAACCACGGAATACAAGTACCTCCGGTGCCACAAGTTCAATGTCTGTTTGTTTCTTAAAGCACCCAAATCCCTATCTTTTATTTAATCACAGCCATGGCTCTAAAGTCAGGGTTATCCCAAATGCTTTTAAAGTGCATTTGTTAGGTGGAAGTAGCTGAGCCTGTGTAAATTGCAAATTGTATCTCTCATTTCACAAGAGCAGGAGCACACACAATTATTTGGAGCTCTGGCTTACTGCAGTAGGTAAGCACCCCGTTACCTCTGCAGGCCGTGCTGCATGTGTGCAGTTGATCCTGCCATCCTCTGAGCTGACGGAGGGGAAGTTTTGCCAGTTATCCACGATCACTGAATCTGTTTTCATCCCAGCAGCAGATGTTACTCAGTAATAAAGCCAGTCGGGAACAGTGAGAGGATTCTGGGCTCTCATTTCTAGCAGCAAACTTAAAACACAACTGTGAAATGCACACTGCAATTGATTTTCTTTTTAGGGGTTGTTTTCATAACAGTTTAACCAAACACAGAAGCAACACTTCTGATTGCAGAAATGCAGGGTAAGTTACTTGTCCTTGAACTTTTAATAGAACAAAAATCAACGGTAGTTGAAAATATATTGTTGCTTTTACTTAGTATCATCTTCTTTAGTATCATCTTGTATTATTTCACATCAAAATCTAATTCCTGTACAGAACTCTGTGGCTTGCTCGTAGAAATTAGAATAATAAACCTTTTTTTATGTCTGTGGTTGTTTCATGGCTAAAGAACCATGAGCATATACAAACGTCTAGTTTTGCAGCCATACCAGTTTGAACTGAGAACTCTCCTCTCTCCATATACATATATATATATGTGTGTGTGTGTGTGGGCCATGCAAGAGGTTCAGTCACAGTGATACTTCGGGCTCACTTTGGGGCTGGCAGATACTGGGTAACTCTGTCATATTTCCCTGAAATTCTCTCAAGGAAGTGTTTTCCTTACCAAAAAGGTTTGATTTTTTTCCTGAAGCAGAGGACCGCAGACAGCGTGGAAGCTGCAGAACACTGTGAACCCTCATTAAATGAACACCATGACTGATGAAGCCATCGGCCCTGTAGGAACAAGAACTGTTGCAGCGTGTGCTCAGGTACAGTTCCCTTTGTGATCGCTGCCAGATCTCACTTCCACAGACACAGCCTCCTTGGCTGTTAAGGACTTTGAACTCCCATTTATTTTGGTAGGAATTGAGAATTTTGAGTCTGGCCAAGTTCCGTTCCCTGAAGGCTGTGACAAACAGATATAAAAACATACAGGAATCGCCATATGGTCCCAGTGTCTTTTGTCTATAGCATCGGTTTGCTTGCAGAGGAGTCCTGGCAAGACTGTAACATCACGAGTAGAGAAGAGCATGAAATAGTTCTGCTTTGGTCCTTTACACCATTCCATTCGAACAGCTTTGCGTGAGCATCATTTGTCTCACCAGTAGAAAGGCTTTTCTATTAATAGTTACAGCGCAGGGCTTTTTAAAGCTGCGTTGCCAAAAGCGAATGGTTGGAATTTTAATGTGGCTTTGAGGTTTTTTTTCTCTTTTTCTCCCCTTTCCCGGTTCATTAATTCCCACTTATATTCCTAAGGATGCACCAGGTATTACAATACTCTTCACGGGAATTCATTTCATCCGATTGTAAGCTTTAGATGGATTCTCTTTCTGGGCAGTTGATGTTAACATTGAGAAGTTTCTGCAGTTTGAAATACAGCAGCAGTAAGGTCCTTGGTGAGGCTGGCTAAACCTGGCAATACATGGCTCCAAGAGGGAATACAAGCACCGTAAGGAAGAGTCCTGGGAAGCTGGTCCTGGAAGAGTGCACATTCAAATCTTGGAATCAGGAGCCAGGCTGGTCACAGGAATACTTGCTTGTGTAGAGCAAACCAAGGCATTGCAGATACACAAATCAGTTTAAATGTAAGTTTCACCCTTGGGGTCTCTGTTAAATGTTTCTCCTGCACATCTGCAGACATTCCTCACTGCTGTTGCATGGACTGACTGAAACTCTCCTGGCACCTGCATATTCCACAAGTATTCCACAAGGGCAGTATTACTGGCTCAGAATTCCCCATTTTCAATTGCAGTGCAAAATGACTTGTAACATCTGGCTTCAGTGGCACTAGGGAGGCTTCTGAGGAGAAAGAGGGATGGTGTGAATGACAACCACGCACACAAATAAGCGGCTGGAGTACCAATCCCCTTCAGCAACCTCATCCCTGCTCTCATGATGGGCAGGACCTGTTGTCCTCCTGGTATTCCACACCACTGGTAGTGTTTACAGTAGTTCTACAACAGGTAGAACTGATGTTTTAAACTCCTCAGAAAAACCCCAAACCAAACCAAAGGCAGTGCTTTGCTTTTCTGAAATACTACAAACAGAAAAGCACTATCTAAGTATTTTCTTCTAACTTTAGGGAACTTCTATGAGAGAACAGTGTCGGAGGGTTTGGTTATACACAGTGTTCTCCAACCCCACACTGGAGAGGTTTCACACCCTCCCTGGGACAGCTTTCACTCCACATGAGGCAAGAACTGTGCTTCTGGTGAGGTTTCAATGAGCCATTGTAAATGTAATTTACACAAACGTGTAGCAGTACCTCTGGTAAGTAACCTTCTGAGGCAAAACTATCATGAGTGGTCATTTAGTTATGTTGTATTTCCTACAGTCTTGTTTGCATTAGGTCAGATCAGCACAAAATTGATTTCCTGTGTGGTACCTACAGCTCTATCCCACAACTACATGAAATTGTTTCATTTTTGACTTCCAAGAGAAGCTGTGGGGGAAAAATACAGTGCAAAACCATGCAAACCCAAGTGTTCATTCTGTCTTTTTACAGCTAATTTTAATGGAGGAACAAAAGGAGGCAAGGGCTGAGCCTTGCCTCCTTAAGACCCAGGGCACCACCGCCTCCAGGGATGACAGCATCAGTCTACCACGTGAGCAAGGACGGAGCCAAGGAGTCACACAAGCAAGGGCCCTGCTGTGCCAGCTCTGACACTGGAAGCTCTCAGACACGGTCAGTGATGAGACTTTCATTCATCTGATGCCATCATCTTTCCCAGTAAAGGTAAGTTTTGCCTAACATGACAAGTTGCTGTCCACTGAGGTTCCGAGCCAGCTTTCCCTACCCCTGCCATGCCACCTACTTCTTAGTGCTTTGATTTCCTTCAGTTCAGAGAGATGAGCAAAGTAGCTGTTGGTGGCTCCATAAACTTTTGCATACAGAGAAGCAGAAGGAAAGGAAGAAAACAGAGAACACCTTTTAAATGGAGCCCTCCTTTCATCAGCGCCCAGGCAGGCAAAGAGAAGCACCACAAGCTTCGAGCAAACGTTTGTAACATTCGGCCCACAGATACAGAAGGAATGTCAGCAGACACACACCTTTACTTCATCAGGTAAATCTCTTTTTTATACCCCACCACAAACTGGAATAAAAAAAAGGCACTAAATTTTAAGCAAAAGCTTTATTTCAGTTTATAGACTTGTTTGTAGTAAAAACAATTACTTCAAAATCAAATTCACATAAAACTCAGCATGTAAATAGAGGGAAGTTACCACTGCTCACAATCTGTTTCTGAAAGACAAGGGCTCCGCGTTACATTTCAACAGCCTTGTGTGGCAACAGATAAAACTGGGATGGCAGCAGCACCTCTTGCTTTGCAGAGTGAGGGGTTCAACTGCCCCCCCATCCATACACTTTGAACCACCAGCTGCAGGCTGGGGCATCTGGATGATTGATCCGTTGTTTCCCATCAATCCACCGGGCAGCATATCCCAGTTTAATCTGCTACTGCACAGGAGTGACAGCTCCTCACTCTTGTTACAGGCACTGCTATCTCAGAGCAGGAATCAAAGTACTTGTCTTAAAACATTTCCCTTACAACACCACCATTACAGATTTTTGGAGGCAACTGTCACAACCAAGCTACATTATTTACACTTCAAATGTACAATTCTCCTTAAAAAGATGCCTGTGTACAAAATAGAGGGTTCTTTTATTTTAAAAAATCACGTGATAGTTTTCAATTACATCAACATTTTAAAAGAACTGAAAATAACTGATGAGTAACAGCAACATTCCCATTTCTTAGGAACCTTCCTGCAAGCACACAAGTACATGCATTGGAGTTAAGATTCTACTAAGCTGTTCTGGACGCTTTGTGCTATACAACCTTCTGCTGGAGGTCTGTGAAAAGCTCTCAGTGTGATGACAATAAAAGTTAGTTAATGCAAGATTATTTCAGTGAAATTATTCTACTTATGAAGTCAATACTGCGAAGGCATCCGATTTACAGCCAGTTAGCCAGAGACCACGGCTAGTAGTAACTAGAACACATACATTAGTTAAAAAGTCAAATATATACAAAAATATATTAGGAAGTGGTTGAGTTTAACCACAGGCTCATGTAAAAAAACGTTGTTTTAAATAGCAATAGCAAAAAATAGCCATTTTCTCTATCCGCAACAATACAAAAGGCAAAACCTACATATGAGGTAGCGATGCCAAATTAAAATAAAAGGAAAAAAAACCCAACTTTGGATTGAGGAGCATGTCCTACATTTTCATAGCATCTCTTTCGATACAAATATTTCAGTGACCACTTCAATTGGTTTCAGAATTAATACATTAATTTACAAAACCTTTTTTCTTCAATGAGCATATTTTTAAAAAGTACTGGAAATGGGTTTAGTTACTGGTATCTCCTATTCCTAAAAAACCCCAAAGCTATCGCCTTTTCAAATCCAGAAAGACTGTACAGCAAAAACATGGAAGCTCTATTATACACACATGGTAAACGCTATGGTACATTAAGACATATACAGAGATCAGAAGCAGCCAACTGTGGTCATTTTGTTCTTTCCTGCACCTTTTGCTACCCTGTGCTCACCACTGGATGCAGGAGTAGGGTCTGCTACTCGCTTCCACAGCTCTGCCCACAGCTGGAACAAGTGTTTGTATCATCTACCTTCAGGAGCCTGAGCCAGCAGCATGGCTTCTCTCTAGGGTCAGGGGGGCTGCCAGGAGTCCCCCTTGGTCTGAAACTGCCTCAAGAATGCAGGGATGGGATGGGATGATTGTGCCCTTTTACTTCTCCTCCCACTCCCATCCCATCCCTTTGTCTCTCCTGCAGGTACAGGGGTCACCTGAGCCTCCCTGACCAAAAAATCCCATTAATGAAAAGCCAGGAGGGGGACAAGCACCCAGCTGAGCTGTGCCAACTCTGGCCCGTGGCTGCAGGGCAGCACTGGCAATAGCACAGGCCCCTCACATGGGTCAAATCCTCTGCTCCCAGTTCCACCAACCAAAAGACCCTGCTGCTCCTTCAGTTCAGGCAACTAAGTCAGACAGCTGAAGTTAGATGGTACAAGCAACAGTAAAAAATGAACTGGATGGAATTTCTGATATTTATTGTATTAAGAAAATAATATACTTTACATCACAGTGCTTAATTAAATGCAATAAAAATGTAAACTTAGGATTCTAGATAAAATTTAACTTGAAAGATCAGGGCTCCAAGACTTTCTAAAATTCACAATTTTGGTAAAAATTGAAGTCACAGACAGTCAGTTCCCACAACTCACATTTTAAGATTACTTGTAAATAGCTGTTGATGCACTCCACTGTTTGGTCACCTTTGTTTGTTTGTTTTTAAAAGCCTAAATAACAAACAGACCAAGTGCAAAGGTAAGAGGTATATTTTTATTTGCAAAGAAACTAACTTTAGAAGGAATTTGCAAATCAGGCATCTAGAGTGCTCTAGTAGATGTAAGGAAATATGCGGTATGGTACACGCTGACAATACCTTTCCCATGCCAAGCCGTATTTCTGCTTACAGTGATGTTCGTCACGAGCTTCTCGATGAACAAGCAAGCAGATGAAATAGATAACGTAGAAATATGGTAAAATGTGAGTAAAACCTGCAGAATAAAGTGAGAAAGTCTCTTTAGGCACAGCAAGGAAATGTTAGCTATTAACATGGACATGGAACTGTTGGAACAAGTCCTGAGGGCCATGAGGGTGATCAGGGGACTGGAGCACCTCCTGTATGAAGATAGGCTGAAAAAGTTGGGGCTGTTCAGCCTGGAGAAGAGAAGGCTGCGTGGAGACCTCATAGCAGCCTTCCAGTATCTGAAGGGGGCCGATAGGGATGCTGGAGAGGGACTCTTCATTAGGGACTGTAGTGACAGGACAAGGGGTAACGGGTTCAAACTTAAACAGGGGAAGTTTAGATTGGATATAAGGAGGAAATTCTTTATTGTCAGGGTGGTGAGGCACTGGAATGGGTTGCCCAGGGAGGTTGTGAATGCTCCATCCCTGGCAGTGTTCAAGGCCAGGTTGGACAGAGCCTTGGGTGACATGGTTTAGTGTGAGGTGTCCCTGCCCATGGCAGGGGGTTAGAACTAAGGTCCTTAAGGTCCTTTCCAACCCTAACTGTTCTATAATTCTATGTGCTGAGCTGGTGACATACTTGTCATAGCCTGAAGCATCTTACAGTTGTATTGTAAAGCATCAAAAGCTCACAGGATAGTGCAAAATGTGACATACCTACATGCAGAGAATGACCCACCAAAAATCCCAGAAAACAATCCTTAAAATTAAGTCTCAGAATTTACTAACTTAACACATGCAAAGTTGTCACATATTTTAAGTTCCCTAGCTATCAAAACCAGAGAAATAGGTAAACCCCTACAAGCACAGAGCTGCCCCACACAAGCCTCACGAGGTTCTCTATTTTGGCTGGAGATGGTAACTCTATCTTTGCTCAGAGCGCACTACTTGACTTGGGGATGAAAGACTAGACATGAGCCAGCAGATATGACAACACTTTAACAAAGCCATTAAAAAAATGTAAGGAACAACTTATTAGCAAGCTCCATTGTTACTTGATGATGAAGTGTCAGAAGAGTCAAATCTATAGTGGGAGATGTCAGATCTACAGTTAGATATAAAGGATAAAATGTAAAGGAAAAGAGGTGTTGCATTAAGCTTACACCAGAGAAATTCATCATTCAATTCATTACAGGTTTTAGCATCTCAAATAATTATCACTTTGCATTTCAAACCCAGCCAGATGCTAAAACACACCAGCACTGTTAACAAACTCCATCTTAGCTTCAGGAACTTACCACAGGGGAGGGACCACGCCAGAGCCATGATGATATCACCGAGATAGTTCGGGTGACGAACAAAACCCCACCAGCCTGTGACAAGAAGCCCTTTCCCAGTTGCAGTGGGTATAGATTTCAGATCTGTGAATAGAGTATTGTAGTCAACACAACTGAAACGTGTGTTTAAACACCACAAAGAGGAGCTGTGTAGCAGCTGAACAAATACAAAATGCACTCACAGGCCAATTTGGGATCTGCTGGATTCCTTCGGAAACTGTTTTTCTGGGAGTTTGCACTACGGAATATGTAATAGCCAATACCTGAAAAGAAACAGTATTTGGCATTTTCAGTATTGTCCAGTTTTCTTCAGCAAAAGCTCTTGCATGCTCTCTGCCACTCTCATTACACTGAAGCCTTTTACCTGATATTCTCCGGTTCTCAGCGCTCTAACAAGACAGGAATGCTAATGGAAACCTCTGTTCTATATGCTCTTGCACATTACTCCTAACATTTTGGAGAACCTTTATTTTTACTTCTACTTTTATGTCTGACCTATGGTTTATTAATGTAAACTTGGGTTTGAAATTCACATAAGGTGATGTGCTGCAACAGCTCTACTAGCAGCCCAGTATTTGCTACAGTGCCTACTATGTAGGCTGACCAACTATTTACAATATTAAAATACATGATCACCAACATAATTCAGATAAAGCAAATAAAGAAAAAACACCTGACAATGCAGAAAAGAGGTTGTATTTCTCAGCAGTGCTCGTATGAAGTTGTATTACCTTCAGATTTTTTCCAGGTGTTTGAATTCTTTGACACTTTTACAAAAGCTTTCCTTAAGGTTTACTACTTAGATAAAGTGACAAACTGCAATGCCCTATTGGTGGAAATCTAACATCTCCTAAAGGTGCAAGATTGTTTCTCAAAGCACTTGCTAGATAAAAGGAGATGCTTTCTGTTGACATGAGTCTGTAAGTATGGGAATTAGGAAGGGAGACGCAAATGGTTAAATAACAAAAACCTCTTTTACTTTAGGTTCAGTAAAGCATAACTAACATGGTATTGACTTCCTTTTCAGAAGAGTCACACCAACTGACTCTAAAAGGCACTTCATCCAAAACATCCGAGTCACTTCTGAAACTCCAGATGACATCCACCTAAAGATGGCTCTCAACAGAGCAACTGCGTGTCTCATTTATACTTCATTAATAAAAGTTTATTACATTCTTTGTAGCCAGAGACATGCTTCTACCACCTATGGTAATGCAGAAAATATGATCACTGCATCTTAGCTAAAACTTCACCTTACAACTCAAAACCAGAAAATCAGTACTACATGATTAGTACCGTAATAAAATAAAAACATTTACTATAACTTACTGTTCAGAATTGTGATTGCAGCAGCAACAGGCCAAGAAATTGCAGTAGGATGACCAACTAAATAGAAGGCCTGCAGACTGTAGACAAATGGAACCCACACCAGATCTCCGAATGCAAGCATGAATCCAAATCCATCATGGGTAATATCCATTGTAGTCAAAACGGCTTCCTAGAAACAAGGAGGAAGGAATTTAGAAAGTACAGGACTTCATTCATGTAACGTTATAATTAGAAATGCCAGCAGTTCAAGATGATTGTCATTTACCTCATTCCAAAGAGCATCCACCACATACAGAAGCTGAAAGCTGTTCACAAGTATCATTGACAGAGATGGCATGCTTTGATTGTGTATCTTCATCTCCGCCAAGAGCATTGCCAAGTTTATAACAACCTAGTTTAGAGAACATTTTATTATAAGTTTTCTGTGTAGAGGACAGTGGTCTTTTCTGTTCAACTTCCATTAATTTGGACTATTAATTAATAATGACATATTAATACAGATAGTTTTGACTATGTTTAGGTTATAAAAACATAGTAACTTATTTCACAAACCACAGTTTGCAACTAACTACATTTCTGAAGCTGTATAACCTCAACACATGAATACTTTAAGAAGGATTTGCATTTCCCATCAACCAAGGAAGCGAAAATGTAGAATTTTTCCGAAACTGCGTAAAAATGGTCATTAAAACTCTGGCAACATGAAACGTTTCTAAGTACTTTTTCCTGTTTATGAATACATATTGTTTCCTTAATACCAAACATACATATCTATGTGTGTATATATGTGTATGTATATTCTTTATATAAAATAAATCTTTATATATATAAACATACGATATGTGCATATATTCCATATTGTTATGAACTATATCATCTATTAATACATGTCTTAAATATCAATACATATTTTTCTACATTTTTATTTATAAATATATAAAATTTAATATATAAATAATATATTATAAAATATTTATATATCATAAATATACAATATATATTACATATATAGAGAGATATAGATACAGAATCATAGAATAATTAGGGTTGGAAGGGACCTTAAGATCATCAAGTTCTAACCCCCTGCCATGGGCAGGGACACCTGACACTAAATCATGTCACCCAAGGCTCTGGCCAACCTGGCCTTCCCTGGGCAAAATACATCTATACATCTCTAGAGATTACAGATAAATATAAAATAAATTATAAATATCAAATTTGATGTATTATGGATAGATCCATCTATAGATAGAGCTATATAGTATAAATTATATTTTATATTATAATATATTATACATAGATTTTTAGCTATGCTATCTCTATAGATTTTTTATATATTTTTACAGACCTCTATTATATAAAGTATATAATATATATTATAGATCTAATATAAAATAATATATCTACATCTCTATATAGAGACATAATATATATAAATATAATTCAATATATTTAATAATATATTTCACATTATGTATCTATATATAGCTATACGAATATACATCTCTGTAGAGATACAGATATATATAGCTTTATATTTTACATTACATGATATGTCTTTTATATTTGTATTGTATATTTTTATATATATCATATTTTTACATCTCCATAGAGATATAGAAATATCTGTATCTCTCTATATATTATATAGTATTATATGTAATATATACTTATTATATACTATATATAATAAAATCATACGTAGTATGTATCTATAGACAATATTACCTATATATTGTCTATAGGTATATATATTATCTATATATAGGTAATATTGTCTATAGATACATACTACCTATGATTTTATTATATATAGTATATAATAAGTATATATTACATACCTATAGACAATATATATTATATATAATCTAGATAGATAATAAACATCTCTATATAGATATCTATACACCTAAATATATAAAAATACGTATTTCTATATGTAATATTATACTAGAATATATATGCATTCTAAATTATATAATTATATCACAGTATATATCTATATAAAAATATTACTTTATCAGATATATTATCTGTATATAGATATACATATGTTATATAATATATCTGTCTAGATATCTGTATAACTATAGATATATATAGATATCCATCTGTGTATATATCTATACATATCTATATATCTGTATTTTATATGTAGACTACATATAAAGATATATATTGTTATATATATTACATATTTCATATTATATACTTATATGCATATACATTTATAAATATGTATTATATATGAAATACACATATACATTTATTTCAGAGGTTATAGATAAATTATATAAGTATATACAGAAAAATTGTTTATACAAACATAATATACATACTTATTTGCATTAATATAAATATGTTGTATATTTTACTTATATGTGATATATACTTAGTTTTCTATATAATTATATATACTATACACATAAGCATGTATTATCTATTTTATATAGAATACATTTTATCTATAAGAATATATATATCTAAATATAAACGCCCCATTTGTCTAATATTAAATGAAGAAAGTAACTAAGATTACTGACTCACCCAGCCAATTAATCCTGGACGCAGCTCACAGAAGTATTTGAGATCAAAACTGCCAATACGAGGGTTTAATTCATGTCCAGTAAAAAAGTCATAAACAAAATACCCTGCAGGTAACACAGTCCTTGTTAGCAACATTCTTCTTTTTATCTGTCACTATCACTATGCTCCTCCCCATAAAGAAGTTCCTACTTTATATTACGGTTCTCTCATACATAAAAATCCTTTAGATTGGCAAGAAAAATGTAAGAGTATATGCAAAACACAAAGCACAACTCACACGGTTTATATTTTTAAGAGGCCCATATATTTTATTTACCAGGAGTAAACACTTTAGAAGTTATTGCAGTCTTATTTCTCCTTGACACTTGTTTCTTTTTTCTTTTCAGCCTTATCCTCAACCTCACATCACATTTTCTATGAATGCCGTCTCATGGTATTGAGTAATTCTACTTTTCCTCCTACTTAGGCACTCTTCTCTGCGAGCAAGAATTCCTTTAGCTGCGATGTCTAAAGGAACGTCACAGCTGCCATCAAGAAGGACAAGAAGGAATATCCAGTACCTGGACTTCAAGATACCCTGCACCAAGTTAACGAACAACAAGCACGTTGCAGAACAGTTACAGAATGCTACCATGCCACTTACAGAGACTAGAACTGCATTTTCAAAGACAAAGCAATTTATGATCACTTATTTCCCTTCACGCATGTACAAGCTGCACTGATGAAGGAACTAAGGACTTCTGAACACTTCATCTTAATGCACTAAATGGTCTGTCCATAAACTCCCTTTCTTAGCCACCCTATGACCATTTTTAAAAGTAGTCTGTTTAATATTTAATGCCAGTCTATCCTTGTCCTACAAAACCGTCTGCATAGAATTGATACTTTCTAACCAGGCAGTCTCAGGACTGATTCAAAATTTCTTTTGGAAACTCCATTCAGATTTTTTTAAAGGGTACTTTTAAAACCCAACAAGTGCACAGCAAAATTAAGCTTCGTAATCTCAAGTTCTGTACCCGACTTCCCACTGCCAAAACATCTACAGCTTTTGGTTTTCCTCTCCATTCCCTGCTGTTGAAGGCCCACTGGCAGGGGCACTATGAAGCAAACTAGACAAGCCTCAGCCAAATGCTGAAAACAGAAAGGAGCTGTCCTCTCATCTCTAAGTGACTAGAGCAGCCAAAATATTTGCGTGTAAGCTACTTGAGATGATCCAACTACAATCTTAAGTATTTTACAGTATCCGAGTGTGAACAAAAACCTGCCATTAAACATGCAACATGCATTTTGTATTAGCTGCAAGTAGATATCAACAGTAATATAATAATCAGCCCTAAATCTAAGCCTTTCATTTATAACAATGAAACTGTAGCAAATAATTGCAACGAAATGATCCAAAATATTTCTAACTCACCAGAATTTCCACCTGGGGCCAGTTCTTCCTCGGGTGCTTTCAGGGACCGAATATACAGATAAATGCTCAACACCGTGGAAAAAGCTGCAGCTGACACTGCAAACTGCAGGAAGTGATCATACAGATAATGAAGTTCAAATTGGAAGTATAATAAAGTTCCAATAGCTGCAGCAGTCAAAACAAAAGCATAAAACCCTAGAGGATGCAAACGAAAGACATATTAGTGCAAATTAAAATAATCATTCTAGTAGAACCTACCCAGTCCAGCATTCCCGCATTTGTATGCCTCCCAAGACTTGCTGATAATCCAATAGTGTCTTCCACATCCCATGCTCTTCAGGTTTGAATTTCTGGGGTACAGCAATATACCAAAGAGATTCTATCTAAGCCCTGTAATTTCCTGTGCTCTTCATCAAGAAGGTAAGATGCAGAGACGCTCCAAGTGCAACCACATGTTTTACAAGGTAAGATCCCATTTCATACTGTAGTGGGAAAATGGATGCTGATACTAGTACAGGATAATGACAGTAGGTAACTTCAAGAAGAAAATATGGTTATCTTCATGCATACCTCGATAATAGTAATTAAAGGTTTCAAATAAATAATCAAGTAAAAACTTGAGCACTAAACTTTTGTAGTGTATTAAGTCACACAGAATGGTATGATGCCCAGATACCAGCAGGCAGTTTTACACAGCCCTCACCTAAGTACTTTCTACAAACCCTTTCACAGGGTCACAATGGTCGAGGTTAGAAGGGATCTCCAGAACTTAATTTAGTCCAACCCTCCTACTCGCAGAGGGTCACCTGCAGCCCAGGACCATGTCCACACAGCTTTTAAATATCTCCAAGGATGGAGATGCCACAACTTGTCTGTGCAATCTGTGCCAGCGCTCAGTCACCCTCACTGGAAGAAAAAAGTGTTTCCTGATGTTTGCGTGGAACCTCTTTGTGCCCATTGCCTCTGGTCCTGTCACTAGTTGTCTTTGTTTCCTCAAGAAGGCTTTCAAAGTTGCTCTGAGAATTAGCCTTTGAAGCAGCAAGATGATGACCTCTTTTCTTCCCTTTTTCCTTTCTTTTTTAAAACACCCAGATCACGTAGCTTATTTCCTCCCTTTATCAGAATACAGAGAAAAAAAACCTTGCGGTAGTATGCCCCTGCTAAAGACAGAGGTCCGAAATGAACGAAGTTATGAGGCAGCTTTAATATGACTCACCTCCACAGGATGCAATTCACTCTGCATCTATGAGGGCATACACCATCTTTAAAATGGTGTGTGACACAATTGTCTACTATAAGAAAACCCATCTCAACCTTTTAATATAACATTTGGATTCACTACCACCAGGGTCCTTGAACTGACCAATCAATTAAATAGGTAGTCTGGAATACCAGCAAGGCATCAAAGAACACTTTTCTGTTTAAGCCTGAAAAAGCAGCACTGCTGAAATATGTGAAACCGTACTATAAACCTAGCGGAGAAACCTGCCTTATTCATAAGAAGTGAAAACAGATCTGAATAAGGACTTAGAACTGTTCTTTGCCAGGCAAGAACACAGTAAATCAATTACAGCACACTTCTTGTTAGTCTGTAAACTGGAGACATCCAGGACCCTCTCAGAATGTATCTTTCCTCATTTGTGTTTTATGGTACAGAGTATTGCAAATCAGCCAGTGGTATCAACCTTCAGAAGAAGCAATGCAACCTGCTTACCATTTATCCGGTATTGCAGTTTCCTTCCATTTGAAAGAGGCACGCCTTCTACAACCTAGGAAGAATGAAACAGCAGTGTTTCAATAAAGTACTGAGGACACTGGCAGGGGAGGTTAATCAAGCACATCTCCACCACAAAGAGATTTAATCAAGGCGATCAGCTAGACATTTGCAAATCAGGTACTGCTCTCAAAAGCATAGTCTGCATAGCAAAAGGGTGACAGTTCTTATTCGAAACATTTACATCAAAAAAAACAATCTCTTCCTAACCAGTCTCAAGAAAACAGAGTGGCTCCAATCACTGTAAACATGTACAGCAACAGAACACGATGAGTAAATGATCTATTTATTGTAGTGTTCTTTCAGAATCTGCCAGTGTCACTCAAGTCACAAAATGAGGGAAATGGAGCATTTGCCTCATATACATATGACCAGAGAGATTAATAGCTTCCTGTAAGAGAAGATTACATTCCAAAACATTGGATATCACTAAGAAACCGAGTATCAAATAGTTTGCCAATCTTAAAGTCAGAAATGTAGAACAATTTCAGGTTTCTATCAGGCAGATTTTACCCATGCTCCGATTTGAACTCCTTCTGTCTTTTCTGCTGTAAGACTGTGAAATGCACAGCCACTAAACTCCTAAACCATGCTATTTTAAGCTTACAGAAATCTGCAGTAGCTATATTCTAGCTTAGTATGGCAAACTAATTAATCTGCTTTCAAATTCACTGCATTAAGGACATACCCTACCTTCCAGCCTAACACACTAATTATTTATCCATAAAGACCCAACTTCTTTGCTACTGAACAGCTTACCTTTCCAATTGGCAGTAAGTAGAACAGAGCTTGAAGGAAAAACCACAGAAGAAAAACACCAAACACCCTTGCCTCCCAAAGACTTTCAAGTGCTGGGAGAGGAGGGGGGAAGTTCATAAGACTGGGGTCATCTTGTTTGCACATCAATAGCAAGTAGAGTACAGTAGCAGGCATGAAAAATATCAGCGTGAAGGTCCCTGTAAATAAGCATCATGCAATATGAGAAGATAAACACAGAAAATTAAGAACAGTTTCAGTCCCAATGCTAAATATCAGTATTAACTTTAGTGACAGAGAAGAGGTTGTCATTATCTACTCCTGAAGCAAGACTGCAGCAACCCCCGAGTCATGTAATGGGTCACAGAGTCATTCTTCTCACTTCCATATGAGGTCACACAACCAAACCAAAGGATCATGCCCACTGCATGCCTTTAAAGCTGTTCAATAAAACTGTATGAAAAGCACTTCACTGCTGAGTTTCACAACTGTAAGAACTTTGCTAGTTACTTCTTAAGTTTAATTTGGAAACAATTAAATCCCACTGTGCAAGTGGAAGGCTCAAGATATTCACTGTATTTCACAAGAGAACAAAGTGTAGTAATGATTCCTGGCTGCCACCAATACCAGCACAGACTACTTGAAGCACTGTCATGTGAGTGACTCTAGATTCTGCATCCAGGGTACAAACACTGGACAAAGAGTTCTTGACACAACTGCATGGTCAGTAAGTAAAAACCAGAAAAGTACTAGTTTTCAACTCTTAAGACAATCTGCACACATACCAATTCTTCCTCCAAACTCTAGCTCCTTTGTTTTTGATGGTGCTTTCTCAATTGTTTTTAATGATGCTTTCTCAATTACTTTTTTTGTCTCAAAAATCTTTTTCTCTGAATATATCTCTTCTTTTTTCTTTTCTTCTTTTCTTGGACGCAAGCTGTACTGTTCAAGCACACGCGCTATTTCCAGGTCTGGTTTCAACTTTTGCTGTTAATGAAAAAAATTCCCAGTGGTATTATCTGTTGTACTCCAGTATTTTATATTTAAGAGGACATTGTTCACTATAAAATGTACCTTGCTCCTATACAGTACTGAAGTTTATACATTTATATGAAGAGACTGCTAAAACCAGTTTCATTGTGATCACTTAGGCCATGACTGTGTATCAGCAGCAGTTCCAGTAGAGGCATCCATCTCCACCCTCCTCCACCTCTCCTTTCTACTCTAAGTCTGGGCATTAGCTAACAATCAGAACGGGCTTGGCTTAGGAAAAAAACCACATAAATTAATAAATCACTTTCCAAGGCCAAATATTCATACTGGAAAAGCATGGCAATGAACACAAGTAATCAGTGAGGGTTTTACAGAAACGCAAATCCAGTACTCTGACAACTTCATCCCCTGAACTCACTTGGCTGAACAGTAAACTTCCTTGAGCTCTAAGTTTTACATTGTGTTCTATTTCTCCTTGATGAATGTATGTCCCTTTTCTAAGGATTTCCAAGAGAGCTGTTAGAATGTGACACCAGACTAAGGGTAAATACAATGTTCATACCTCTGAGATTACGAAGGACGTGTCATTTCTTTCTGTACTCTCGGGTTCACCATTGTACCTTCTTGTGTTGTTCTCACTTGGTTTCTGGTTACAAGAAAAAACATAGTTTTAGCTTTCTGAAAATAACAGCTGCATGAAATATATAATGAATAATTAAGAACAGTAACTATCTAGTTATTTTTCTACTGCCACTACTCCAGTTTTCTCCACAGGAAAACAAGTGGCTTCAACATCTGCAGTATGGACAGTTTCAGCTCCCAAACAAGGGAGGAAAAAATCATTTCAGTAAAGAAAATGGTTAATTTTATTTTTCTTCTTTCCCCTTATTAACAGTGACACTATGACAGAATGCAGCTTCTACGTTATTTTTAACTCATCATTAGGGACTGCCAAATACAAAATAACTAACAATGCTATTAGGAAAGCAGAGGCAATCTCAGTGTCCCATGTACGACACTGCTTTGCAGGACTGAAAGTTTGCTTTCCCATCAAGTTCTTTTTCTGAGAAACAAACTGTCTTACAAAAATTCTTTTAACGTGTCTGCCTTACTCATCCCTTGGAAGACACGACTCATTTTCTTTCAACTTAAGCTTTGATGAAAAGGACCAAGTGATTCCAGTTGTACAGCAACCAACTGATCAATTGTACTCTTTAATCAGAAGCCAGGAGAAAACCACCGAAGATATTTTAACGTTTTTGTCCAAAGCAAAGCGTACCCGCTGGCTTCAAACTACTTCAAACAAGCATATGGTCCACAAGCTATGCACTGGGTCACACAACCCAAAGGAGATCACTGCAGAACAAAAACCACAAGAGTTTCAGTGTCAAAGAATGTTTTGGTAGTAGCAATTTACTAAATTAAACCTATCTATTTATTTTAGATTGCCTGGTCTAGTGTACTTGAAACTTAACTAAAACATATCCATTTTCAGTAGGCCAACAAAAGGCAATTACAGTTCAAGGGACTGTGTCTCAGACAAGTATCCCCCTTGAAGCTATCTCTCAAGGGCACAAGAGGCAGAAGAAATGTGTCTTAATAGAGAAACATCAACACTGCTATTCAGCATTTACAGAACGCCAGAACCTTCACAAAAAAGGCCAAGAACAAACACGATAAATTTCAACTGAAAAAAAATAAATAATAGCAATATATGATAAACTTCCAAATCCTTACAGGGCAGTTCTCATAATGAAAACAGTTCTGCAATATTATCAGTCAGCAAGGCCATATATATATATATATTTTACACTTGAATTCTGCAGTAATTCTCCCACAGAAGCCTCACACGAACTGTGTATGAAACCAGAACTCATTTTATTTCAAATTCTAATACTTACTATGCATTGATCAATACATCTTAAAAGGAGGCTAACTTCTTTTGCCCTGTTTCAGAAGTGGGAGCATATGGCATATGCTGACAATGACTTCAGTATTACCTACAGCTGGCTTTTACAATAGTAAACCCAGTTTGCATAACATAAATCTTTCAAATAGCAAAAGTTTGTTTTAAAAAAAATCCAACATACACATCCCGCCCCCCTTAAAGAACAAACAAACAAACAAACCAATGCCAGTGGAGCCAAGCTGGTTTCTGAAATGGTTTTCTTTTTGTCATCTTTAGGTTCTCTGCTTTGGGAAGAAGAACGACGTCTGCCTTTTGCTGGCCGACCAGGAGATCTAGACCTAGATCTGCTAGAACTCCTTCTGGAGGGAGAACTTGAAGAAGACTGGCTCTTCCTGTGCTTGAATGATGACTGGGACTAAAAGAAAGAGGGGAAGAAAGCAAAATCTTATCTTAGATGTTTCAAAGAACAGTTTTAGAATCTTGGCTCCTTTTCCTGATACAGACTTTGGCACACAGCTCTACAGAACTGTCTCTTATCTCCTTTACTAATGCTGTGCAAAGGCTGTTAAGGAAGAGCCACTACAGCATACTCATTCTGTTGGTAAGGCCCAGACAATCCTATCTCAACTCCAACTGCAGACAATTGCTGTTAAAGCTACAGAAATCAGCATATGGATGTAAGCTATCTGCATGAGCATTAAGCTCTTAAGTGTACTACCCTCTTAATCTTTTCCACAAGTAAATGAATTGATGTTTTTAGTTGTTGCTAAGTAATGTTTACTCTGACCAAGGACTTTTCAGTCTCATGCTCTGCCAGGGCAGAGGGGCACAAGAAGCCGGGAGGAAGCAGAGACAGGACACCTGACCCAAACTAACCAAAGAGGTATTCCATACCATACCACATCATGCCCAGAATGTAGAACTGGGGGCAGTTACCCAGAAGGGCTTGATCACTGCTCAGTCAGGCTGGGTATCGGTCAGTGGGTGGTGAGCAGTTGTATTCTCTTCCCTTGTTATTTCCCTTATTATTACTGGTGGTAGCAGCAGTGATTTGTGTTATACCTTAGTTACTGGACTGTGCTTATCTCAACCTGTGGGAGGTACATTCTTTCAATTCTCCTCCCCATCCCTCCGGGAGAGGGGAGGGAGGAAGGGGTGGGGAGTGAGAGAGAGACTGCGTGGCTGGACTTAAACCACAACAAACGGTTATCATTTCAGTTACTTTGGTTGATTAATGCATTTGGCATATCAAGATGCAGCAATCCGTTTAAGGCAACACAGCTCAAATCAACACTAAAAAAAAAAACCTAAGTCAGCTAAATCACTAAATTAGAAGTGATAACTAATTTCTTAAGGCGTTTTCACAAAAAGCATTGTTTTATTTCTCTGTGAAGTCTACAATGCTAATTTTCCCATGTAAATTTGCCACAGCTTCTATAAAGCACAAATGCTTTTTACAAAGAAAGGTATTTTCTCAGCTGGAGTTTGCTAAAATGAAGGTAAACAAGTTAGAGCAGTGAAAATGGTTGTCTACCTTGAGGCAGAAACCATCTATTCCAAAAGAAGGCCAGTTACAGGGCAGGTACACTGCCACCAAAAGTGAAACTATCTCTCACATAAAGACACACAAATTGGTTTTGAACTTCTGCAGACTTTGGAACGGGCCTTAAAAATCAACTACAGCAAACACCCAAATAGCTTTTTGTCTCCTGCATTATCACATTTTGAACTGAAATGAAACTTGTATGCCAAGTTGTAAAGGCCTTTATTAGTAACAAAAAATGAAATAATGAAGATACGTAGTGAGAAAAGGATACACATATGACATGACCCTTTCTCAAAGATTCCAAATTGTCACAAATAGAGCAGTTGGCAAAACTTTTGGGGTCCTAAACAGTACAAACTGTTCACAGATGTTTTAGTATGGACCTAAAGAGAATGTGCTATTTATATTTACACTGAACCTTGACTACATGCTTGCATTTGGTTTTGGATTTTGCTATTTGCAAGTGGAAAAAGGTCAAATGAGTACCACCCTCTGATTATTGGCTTTAGAAACTACCCAAAACCGATTTCTCACCAACAATCATCCTATAGAGCTCCTGAAGGATTTGACTTGTTTTTTTCCCACATATATCACTGTTTGCTCATCGTAAAGAAAACAATCACTCTTCTTTAAACATGGATCAACATTCTGGACTTCTAGTTTAAATGTCATGTAGGAAAAAGCTGTTATTTAGCACCAATTCCCTGAAGACACAGTTAATGAAAACTTGCAAAGGGACTCTCCAATTATAAGTTGTATTTTATCTACAACACAAAAAAAATCAATATAATTATCTGTTATAAATATTGGTAATTACATAAACGTGTACTTACTCTTATATCACTTTCTTTCAATGCAAGTTCAGTCCCATCTTTGTACTTCACAGTATAAAGATGAGAAACATCATCATAACTAGTCACTTGCACTTCATAGTACAGGACACTTCCTGGCCAACGGCCCATTACCACCTCGCCATCCGCAAACCTCCGGTTTGGCATTTTCCAAAAGGAATCCCTAGAAAAGAAGTAAACCAATACATATGACAGCTAAACTTCAGTTGTTACGAAAGAAACGTTCAAATGTATTAATAGTACATCTAGACCTGTATTCAACTGCGATATATAACCTCCATCAGAGCCCATCAAAAGTAGGCAAAAATGTGTATTTGACCATAATTACAAATGCAGTCACATAATCTAGAGGGGAAAAAGTGAATGGGATGATATCTAAGTATCCTCTAATCCTGTTTTCCTGTGGTTCTAAAAGAATGACTGAAGTGATGATTTCTAAATGTTAAGATAAGAAGTACCCAATCTATTCAATACACACAGCCACATTACATACTTTCTGCCATTTATTATGTCAAACACTCAAAAGGTGGATAACACCAGATTTTGGGCTCCTCTATGGGTTGAATATTTTCTCTTTTCCACCTATTCAGCACAAAGCATGTAATGCCTTTTGCAGAGGCCTGTAGCAAACCAAAGTACAGCACCAAAGCAATCACACAATATCCTGAGAAACCAAATCCTATGCCCCTATCTGCATCATAAGGTTTTACCTGGTATTAGTAAAACATGGTTTAAGCAACTACCACCCTTGGTCCACCATACCAGGCGGATAGGAAAACCACAACTGCATCTTCACATTTGAAGACAGAATTTTAGAGAAGTCCTGTATACCTCTTTGAAAAGTGCCTTGGTATATGTCATTGCCTGCTGAAAACAGGTATCTGTAGAAGAATAGCCTGAACTTCTGTGACTCAGGTCTCAACACAAAGTGAGGCTATCTTCAAAGACTAAGGTAAAATACATACTAATTTACATACTATCACCATCTGAATGGGAAATATGGCGGGAGAGGAAAAGGGGAAGGGAGAGGGAAGAGAATGAGACCAAACAACCCAGCAAATAAGCATTTTAACTTGCTTGCTGTAAATACGAAGCCACAAAATCAGGTGAAACCAAACATTTAACTAGGTGCTCATTCATTACACATTAACTAACCTGCAGTGAAAAGTCAAGATTCTTTGGCAGGAAAAAACCTACTGTTACTATCCAATCCCAGACCTTGAGAACACACTGGGGGATGGGGCTGAGTGAGGCTTTTCATCAATAAACTTTCACTCTGGCATTTCCTGAAGCTGCTGCTGCTGCTGTTTCATTTTGCACCTGTGTAGCTCTCAAAGTCAAAGGAGAAACCGAAACCTTGGCAAAATCCCCTCATGTGGATTTTACTAGTAATATTTCTAATTGCTTTGAAACAGAAACATCTGGCCATCTCCTCTGCTGCATAACATTTGAAGGAGCATTCTGTTTCACTGATACTTGCCAGTTAGTTATGAAGAGTTCTAGTTTATACTCGTAGGCACAAGCTCTTCCAGCTCAACTATCTTCTACCTGTTTCTTATTTTCTGCATTCCCACTCCTCTGTTTTATCCCAGTCAGTCATAGCCTTGTTTCTCCTGACTCCAAGACGTACAACTTCCGTATTTTCATTTCAAAGTCTTCTCCATGCTCTTCACACCCCCTTTAATTCCCTGGGAGGTTTCTGCCTTTTCTGCCCTTGTTCACATAAAAAAAAAGTTCCTTTTCACCATCTCTGGGCTCAAGACCTGATCCCAATCCCCATCTGTCTCCTTGTCCATTTTTCTCGCCCAAAAGATAGTTCTTTAGGAGACCCATGTCTACTAATGCTCTTTCCCCAGTTACTTGCACAGCTCCAACTTCTTCCTCATCTCCCATAAATAGTTTTAAACACCGCTCCTTCACCAAGTCCAGCCATCACTTTCAGCAGATGCAAGAACCTGATCTGACTTAATTTCCTCTTTGCTGTTGTACTTATAGAATCACAGAATAGTTAGGCTTGGAAAGGACCTTAAGATCATCTAGTTCCAATCCTACACTCCAGCTGTTTCTTTCTCCTGACCTGGAACACCTCAGGCATCATGTGTAAACTCAAGAGCCTGATCAGGACAAAGCTGCCAGATCCTGGGACAAAGAGGTGAAAACCAGAATCTTTGAAGTTTAAGTCCTTTTTAAAAAGGGAAACCCTTTTTCACAAAGTTGTTACTAGGGACATGTAAACTCATGTTTTTTACTTAAAACAGCCACTTCAAAATTTCATGGGATGAGAAAATGCAATTCTCTGCCAAACTTCAAAACCAGGACCTTTGCACACAAATGTGAAATCAGCCCAAAGATAACCTGATGATTCTTTTTGAAGGCAGAAAAACCTCCCCTTCCTCCAATATTATTCTCAAAAGGAGCTGAAGGAAGTTTTAAGAAGTTGGAAAGCACAGCTGAAGGACCCAAAGCTAAATCATGTCATGTAAGACAGCCTGAGGTAGATATCAATGATACAAAAGTCCAGAATAATAAATCAATTTAAGCAAGTGGAAATGCTAGAATGTGATTCAAAGTACTGAACAATCTTACTAGTTGAAAGACCTATTATTTTTTTTCTTGAACTTTAATAAGGACATCAATCAGTAAACACTAAAAAAGACAAATATCACTTCTTAACCTACCAAGAATTACCACCTTGTTCTGCACCCCTGTGCCTCCTGTGAGGGATTCCTCATTCCCTAAATCCCACTTCAAAAGGCTACACCTTTTAAAGGCAGCCTTAATCTGTTCAGATAACAAAATCCATTACTGGCATCAAGAATAATAAAGATCTTTTCTAAACTGTGCCTTTTTAATTACATTTTTAATTTACTTTCTTTCAAGCTCTACACACACCCCTGATAATTTTCTGGATCTCAGCTGGCATCAGCCCAATGTTCAGTTGCCATACACAAACTTTTTAATTTACAGGGCTTCTTCATACATATCCAAGCAACCTCGAAAGAAAATTATTTCAACCAATGAACTCTGTACTGTACAGACACCTGATTACAAGTATATTCACTTACTCCCAAGTTGAAATTTGTGTTTTCTGCACCATTATGGCTTCCCTTTAAGAAATCTAAGGAAACAGCTCAAAAGGATTTTGAATCCAATACCAAGCCAATGTATTTAACTCAAAACTCCCTGGAGCTTAAAAGTTGGTCAAGAAGAAAAGTTACTGCTGACTCAACCAAGAGCAGAACAATTACAGAGAAACATGAAAGAGAAACATATTGCCCCATACAACCATTTCTGGTCTTTCTCAATGACCCTCTCACTAGGTATGTGGAAAGATATTTCACTTCTGTCAAGAAAGTAAGGAGAAAAAGACTGCTAGCTTGTAGTCACTAGAAGATCACACCACATCATCACAAGTTTTAAGAAGAAATAAAAAGACACTAAAGTTTCCCCCTCCTGGAAGAGCTAAGTTCATAAATATCCAGTAATTCTACTTTCCAATTCTGACATCCCACCACTGGTAGATATAAACCTGTGTGCGTCAAAGAAGGGAGCCAGCTAAAGACAAGAAAAAAAAATGCAGTAAACCAAAGGCAACACTAGCAATCAAGGCTCACAAGACACAGCTTCCTATACAGAAAGTTAATATTCAATTCACCAGTATTCGTCATTAATACTGAATTCCCCAGGGGACTGGGCTGTGCAGGACCTTTTCAGGATCACCATTCCACATTTCTAGCTCTATCGCTATAATGGTGGAGGCATTTACCACTGTTCCAAGCTTGGCCCGACTAAAGAGCCGAATCAGCCTCACCACTAACCACCAGCACAAACGCAGCCCAAGATAAAACAAAACTCTGCCAATCCTCAGACAGGCAAAAGAGATTTTTCCCGCTCTAAAAAGGCCTTTCAGCAGGAGCACCGAAAGCGGACGCGGCGCGCCAGGAACCTGAACTCCCCACACAGGGCCACGGCGGTGTTGACAGGAAAAGACACACGTGCAGAGAGGGGGGAGGCTCGGCTCCCAGCCCCGCCCCGCCCGCGCTCCCGGCCCGGGCCTGGCGCGGAGCCTCGCTCGTGGGGGAAGGGAGGGGCCGCGTTGGTCCAGGCCAGGCCGGGCCGGGCCGGGCCGCCCCTCTCCCACAGCGCACCCCTGCCTCACCAGCAGGCCGCGGCCTTCCCCCACGCCAGGCCCGGCACCGCGGTGCCGCTACAAAGGAGAACGGCGGCGTCCCGAACAAAGCGGGGAGACAAAACCCCGCTACCCCCGGGTCCCCAGCGTACAGGCCAGGCAGCGGGAGAGGGCGCGGCTCGCCCGCCCACCGCGAGAGAGGCTCGAGGGAGGCCGCGGCCCGGCGCCCGCGCGTGGGGGCGGAGAGAGGCTGCGGCGGCGATCGGCCGCAGCGGTTCCCCCCGAGAAAGCCGCGGATGGAGGGGGGATCCCGGCCTGCCCCGGTGCCGCCGGCCCCTTACCTGGCGCCCGCCCGCACCGGGCAGGGCAGGGCACGAAGCGCTTCCGCGGAGCAGCGGCAGCCGGACACTGCCCGCCGAGGGGAACAACCACCCTGAGCGACGGTTACGGCGGCACAACGGTCCGCCCCCTCGCCCCGCCTCTTCCCGCCCGCCAACCGCTCCTATTGGCCACGACGCGCCGTTTGAATCGTGGGTGGCCGCACGCTATTGGCTGCCGCGCGATGGCGCGGTCCTCTCGCCCGTGGCGTGCCGGTCGCCCGCCCCGGTGAGGCGACGAGCGGGGAGGCCTGGCCCTCTCGCGGCGGCGAGGGGAGCCATAACGGGTGCGGGTGGGGAGGGAAGGGAAGGGACGGCGGGAGGAAACATCGCGGTCGCCATCACGGCGGCTGGGACCGCCCCAAGCCGCCGGCGCCGCACAGGCCCCGCCGCGGGGCGGTAAACAGAAACGGGGCTGTTCCATAGGGAGCGCTCGCGGGGTTGCCGCCTCAAGCGCTGGACTGTGGTGAAACGCTCGCTCTGTCCAAAAGAGAAATAAAAAAAGAGGAAAAAATAAGCAGTGTGCGGTTACCGGTGTCTTTCTGAGGCACCTTTTCCAGAAAGGGGTATTCGAGTTCCTGGCAGGTTTTGAAATCGGGAAGTCTAATGCATGCTTCAGCAGGCAGAACAGTAAGTTGTGAAAACGTTAACGAGTTGTCACACAGAGCGAGGTTTAATGTAAAATAGGTTGTTTCAAGCGTTTGCATCTTAAAAGCAATTAAGGCCTTTAAGCGTGAGTTTAAGGCTTGTGTTTGTACGATCTTTATGGACCTCCAAAACTGCCTAAATTTAGACACATTTGGTTGACAACCAGAACAGCCTAAATTCAGGCACATAAGGTTGAGAACTCTCATTCGGGCCTAATAAAGCTTCCCAAATCAAGGAAGATTCCCCCAAAAGACCACTGAGGCCCAATACAGAAGACTGGCAATGACACACATCAAAAACCTCGGATTAAACCCAAAACAACAATAACATCACCACAAAGCAAAAACCCACCACCCAAACCCCACAACCAAAACCGAACGGACATAAATAAAGATCTAGGGTAACCATGGCCTTAACTCATCCCAAAGTTGTTTTGGGGGATTATTTTTTTATGTTTCTAGCTATAATGTTTGGATTAAGAGTATGGCAAGCTTCTTACCTAAGTAACTGAGTGCAGGAAATGGGCCTTCACACATGAACTGGTAAAAAGAAAAATAAATAGATTTTACTACTTATTCTGCCTAGTTTGGCCTTAAACTTTCTAATTTTCCCAGGCAATCCATTTTGTATCATCCCTGTTTTATACCAGATAGGTCAAGTTGTATTTTCTTAGGCATTCATTATGCTTTTCACTATATGATGCAATAGGAGGCATCTAAATGAGATTAACAGTTACCCAGTCAAATCAGAGTCGTGTTTAAGCATGATTTAAACAAACACAGTCAGAATAAATTTGTATTTCAGTTGCATTAAGGCAATCAGATTTTATCTGAATGACATTTGATAACTTGCTATGCAAAAGAATGCAACTGAAGCTTCATTTCTGGCTTCAGATAATGAACGTTTTTGGTGCCAACTAAGATTTGTGCTTTATTACTATTGCAGAGTTTACAATTATGATGTTAAGGACTGTTTTCTGTAGCTGTCTTAATTACAGCAGCTACTACTTGGAATTAGCCTGCTTCATGCTGTTGGCAACAGAGGCCTACAATTAATATGCTTAAATATGAAGGTTTTCAGTTGTGGTCTCATTTAGAGAACAAGCATGCCTTCAGAGTAAGAGGTTGGTTGGGAGATTGTTTAATAAACCTGGATTGGAAAGTTGTTGGGCCATTAACAATGTTTTGTTTCATTTAACAACAAATATTAAGCACTACAATATCACATCTACTTGAGAACACTACCCTCATGCCCCTGTAAGATTCTGATCCATAGGGATGCTGGGGAGGGACTCTTCATTAGAGCCTGTAGTGATAGGACAAGGGGTAAGGGGTTAAAACTTAAACGGGAAGTTTAGATTGGATATAAGGAGGAAATTCTTTCCTGTTAGGGTGGTGAGGCACTGGTATGGGTTGCCCAGAGAGGTTGTTAATGCTCCATCCCTGGCAGTGTTCACGACCAGGTTGGATGAGCCCTTGGGTGATATGATTTAGCATAAAGTGTCCCTGCCCATGGCAGGGGGGTTGGAACTAGATGATCTTAAGGTCTTTTCCAACCCTAACTATTCTATGATTCTATAATTCAACCCTCGACTCTCCTTTTGATTCCAGTAAGACTCAAAGAAGGCTCTGGTGCTGGAGCTGGTCCCACCAAGGCTGCCTGCCTCCTTTCCTGCTCTAATTCTTGCCTCTGAAATACACTTCAGCTGGAGGTAGAAAAAGGGGCAGGAGATTGGGAAGAAGCCATTCAAAAAGTACTGGGCAGTGGGTGTTAACTGTGACAAGACTCAGGAGAATGGTGGAAAACATACTGATAACCAAAAATGGGATTATTTTACTCTCCTCCAGCAAGGACCAGGAGAAATTGCTTTAGAGCTAAGATTCTCATGTCTATTCAGGACACACACTTGGCAGTAAAAACTGCTTGAGTTTAAGAGAAGATATAAAGTAGTTGGCTATGTGGAAATTAGTATTATCTGTACTCTGTAAAATCTCAGTGCTGTCACTGACTGGCCTTTGGAGAACAGGTTGGCTTTAAGGAGAACCTTTCTCCAAATGATGAACCCCTCTAAGACTGGAGGCACTGCATTTAGTATCCCCAGATAGTAAGTTATCTTTAATTTAGTAAAAGATACTTGTAAAAACACTGGGATATTGGTTACAGTTAATATTCCAAGACTTACAGTTCAGAATAGGCGACCATGTGAGTCCCCTCAACTGTTATTAACCAGGTTAATGCTGCCTGTGATACTATGAATTACTGTTATTACTGTGTGTACTGATATTTAAGGTAATACATCTGTAGTCTCATAACTGTGTTATGCTTTCTCAATGTTGTATGAAAACTCAGGACTCGCAGTAGAGCCCTTGAATAAGTAAAGTCTACAGAACCAAATTCAAGGTATATCTAACCTGTTTTCTTTTAATTACTTAATGTGTAAACACTTCCCGAAACATTCTATTTTACTATAAAACCTTTGACCTTTATTTTTCATTGTTACACAATAATGTTTGCATATTCAATGCCTATCTTGTATTTTTTCCCTTCCTAGTTCTCATTTTACATGCAAATGTTTGTGGCTGTGATGTAAAATAAGACCCATCTCAGCAGCATTCTCATTCCAATAGTATTTGAAGACCAAAATAGTCACTTAAATTCCAGTGACCAGAAAAATAAAGTTCTTACATTCATTTTTATACTGTTTCTGTCCATCTACTTATCTCTTTCAATGTAATAAGATGCATATTTTGGTTTTTTTTATCTTTCAAAGGATTAAACCCATGTTAAGTTCACCAAACCAGCATTCGGGAAACACAACCGTAACACATTGCAGCAATAAGAGCTGATCACAAACTCCCCTAAATTTGTTTAGCTCGGAAAATACATTTCTGGTAAAAGTTGATCTTTCCCAGTCCCACAGCTTGGCTGTCAGGGAATTCCCATGTATGCAGACCATAACTAGCCATCTCTGTGCTTAAGACAAGTGTTATTGTTACTTTGGGGTTATTTTACCGTTGTTTTTTTGTAGGTGCCATGAGAAGGTTGCACAAATGAGTCCTCCTATAAAGCTGCCAACCCAAGAAGGTTGAGACCTCTTGTGATAAATGGCTTTAGCACAGGCTTTGGAGGTGGGTGGGGTAATCTGCTTCTATTTCCTCTCCTGATTAGCCCTTTGCTTCTGTAGAAGAAAACACCCCTAAGACTCACAGTAAGGTGGGGGTTTCTACTCTGTTAAAAAAAACAAACCCATATATTTATATATATGTAACTATATGTACATACAATAAATGCATATGCTATGTGAATTATAGTATATATGCACACACATATGTTTTCCCTTTCTCCTTCTTTCTAGTATTATATATGGTCAAAGCATCCTAGCCTGTCTAGTGAAAATACCTCTACTGTTTGCATGAGAAGAAGAAACCTCCTGGCTGGCAGCTGCCTTCAGGACAGTGCTGTAGCCAAGTAGATGGTGATGACCACATATGTTGTCTATTTTGGATCACAGCATAACCTGGGAGAGAAGACACACTGAATTCTGGTTACTGACAAAAACCATCTCTGCATCTCAAACTGCTGTTGAAAAACTGAGGACAATCCCCTTCTTAAAGCTGTTGTTGAGATTAAAGCATGCTAGTGTGCTCAGGCACTTTGGGGACTGTTTTGATTAGTATATGTAATTTTATTCATAGTTTTTCAGCAATACAATGGCTCTTTAAAAAGAAGCAGGAGATTTGGGATTAACCTCTGGTACAGAGGTTTTATTTATACAGCCCTCAGTAAGGCCGAGATTCCATCCTTGACTATAGAAGTTTCTAATTATATATTAGTTTACGACACATGAAACTGGAACTTACAGCCCTGTGTAAAAAGAGCAGCCTGCTAACACACAGTGTGGCCCTGGGTGAGTTCTGTTGAGCACTTGCATTCTGGGATCTTTTGCAAAGTGTTTATCTTTAGAAACAGCTTTAAAATAATGTCCAAGGCTATCAACTGTGCTGGGCTCAGCAAGGAGAGAGACACAGGCACATGCCAGCAACTTCAGTTCTCTAAACAGGAGGAGGAGAAAAAAACACATTGAAACTTTGATCTCCACAACTGTGCAAGATGCTTCCTTTTCTGTATTGTATGTGAATTTATAAATAAGACTCATTCTTGACTAAGGGAAGTTGATGCAATTCTCCAAGAAATGGGTCTTGAGATAAGAGTTTTGGCTACTGTGTCTTCTGCTGGGCTGCTCACCTCCCCATTTCTACAGCACAACTGTTAAATTACTCCAGCAGTAAGCCTTTAAAACAGTCACTGTCCTGAAGGCTTCTGGAAAACACACACTACAGTATTCCTGAGTAGCTGTAAGATGTGTCAGAGGTATGTGCATTAAGGAATTGTAAATGTTTAAACAGAAAGTGGTTTTAATTCTAGGGAAAGATGGAAAACTTCGTTACTTTAAAACACACAGACAAGCCACTCTCGCCTACCAGCTACCCCATGACTCACAAGTACTTTCACAGAAGGCTTCTGGCTTTTCAACCAGTATCCTCTAGGCTTCAGAGGGAGGTTACCAAGCAGGGAGTGACTTGAGCTGACACTGCAGCCATCTGGGATCTCTGCAGGATGGGAGGGAGAGAACACACCTTTCCCAGGTTCCTGTGTGACAGCCTGCCCTGGATGAAGGGAGAAACTTGGCCTGGATCCTCATGTCCAGCACATTAACAGTGCTACATCCCTGAATCATTAAGGCACTCTGGAAGAAAATACAAACAAAACCCATGGCAAATGCAAAAGGGGCAGAACCCAAAGCCTTTGAAGTGACAACCCAAACACTTACACGTGTATATGTGTCTGTCAGTGTGTATATGTATATATGAAATATTCATATATGTATATGTATAAAAGAGTGAATAAAACTGTTGGCTCTCCATCCTTTTTTGCAACCAATTCAGGATTTTTATGCCTGTGGCTGGCACAGCTCCCTGCAGTAGCTGAAACTAATATTTAAGAGGCTTTGTAGCGTAAGTTGAAGATGGCCACATGCTGCTGGTCCAGAGTGAGCAAGCAGTGGAGCTGCTGGTGCTCAGCAGCACAGCTGCAGGCTGGGCCAGGCCCTGCATCAGGGTGGAATATTGCACCCACAGCCAGTTTTATAGTCATATTCAAAATTCACTGTAGTTGTTTTTTAATAGAGTTTTAAGAATGGAAAGCACTGTACTGCTGGGGGGGAATTTTTAAGGAAAATAATATGGGTAAATGTGGACAAGTATTTGTAACGAATCTTTCCACACTGGGATATGTGGGATAGATCATAAATTCCTTACCAGGGTACAGATCCCAAAGAAATCAGTTTATTTAACATGGCACTCATATTCAAGCTCTCAGATGTGGTGCTACTCATACCTCTCATCTTATTCTAGAAGAAACCCCATCTAGTTACTGCAACACGCAGGCCCAAGCCAGAAGTGATAAAGGAAGAAATCAGCTTGATGCATCTCACGGAAGATGAGCTCGCATATTTTGGGTTTGGGAGCTGATAGTGCTCCATATCTACTCTCACTTAAACTGACTTCTTTGATGAAACCTGTTCAACTGGTCCTGTTCATTTAATTAATGTTTTTAAATACAGTAATTTAAATGTTAATTAACTGAACTTCAACAACTATAGTGCTGCTAACAAAATGTATACAGATACTTATTTTTTCCACTGTGTTTTACAAAGGTGGAGGGTTTAAATGGATACTGGCAAGAAAGCAAGGAATAAAATGGAAGATTCATTCAGGTGGAGCATTCTTTCTTTAGAATAGATTTCTATAACCCAACCTAGCATACACTCATCAAGTTATGCTAGTAGTAATAAGAGCAGAGCTTTGATGTGCATGTGTGATCCTTGCTAGGCATTGTTCATTGCACAGCTTTTAAAACTCTTGTTACAAAACACACACACATAAAGGTAGTTTCATTAGAAGCAATTTCAATCAATGAATCAGAACCCTTCAGGGCAGAGTTTGCATATACAAGCCTACACCTCCCTCATTTCCACAAATCTCTCTTCTTTCCCTTGCCCATATTGTAAAGTCTATCTATACTCCAACCATCACTTTAGCTGTGGGCCATTTTATAGCACAGCAACAAATCCATCTCCCAATTCTTGGTTTAGCAGTGAGCAGCCAACAGCTGGAACAGAACTGCTGACAGACCATACTGATGTGAGAAGTTTCAGTGAGCCAGTACCTGGCAACAGATACACAGCAAAGATGGTTGCATAGTTCAGTCTTCTCTGGCTTTCTCCCCCATTTCTCTCCAGTTCTCCCATTTGCCAAGCAGGATGAACTGAGCCCAAAACACGGGTCATGGGAAGCAGAGGCTAATGGAAGAGTTTTCATTTAATTAAAGGAGAAAGGATAATTCGGATGATTTCCAGGCTAAACTACGCTAAACCCCAAATTCATAATTAATTATGGCACTAGGCAGACTGTCAGTTTTCAGACAGTTCCTCTATGCTGCATTGTAAACATGGAATCATCCCTGGTGTTACTGCAATAGTAATCTCTTCCAATCATGGATATACCTCATTCAAGTTTCAGATAGCAGTCACAGGCATTCTCAAGCTCTTCTGAAACAAGCAACTCCGATATTAAAGAAAAAAAGAAGTATTTCTGTTATGACCAATTCCCACACAGTGTTTATTTGTTCAGCACAAAGGAAACTGCACTTTGTTCCCAAAGCAAGCTGGCATTGCTGCAGATACCAGTACATTGGCTCAGAGTGCTGGTAGGGCAATCTGGGCTGCTCATAAATGGTTTTGCCAGCCCATCCACAGCTGACCAGTCCAGGGGAGCTGAGAAAAGGTCCGAATGAGACCAGTGTGACACAGTGCATCTGGCATTTTCGTGGGCAGTAAGTGGCAGGATTCTGGTTTAAGATTCATCATTAAATACAAAGTGAAATACAAAAGAAAAGCCAAAGACATGGGCACCTGATATTGAACTGCATGAGATTGCTTCCCCTGCCAGGTAGGACAGTCTTGCTGCTGGAGCAAGCCGTTATTTCCCTAGCCAGAAATGCACCTCAGTGATAACCTGACCTGAAAGCACCCTCCGAAACAAAGGCGCTTCCTGCTCCTACGTGCTTTGCCTTTATGCCAACAGGCAACGTGACTCACTCTATTGACTTTTAAAGTGTGCTTTCCCTTCAAAACCACTCTGGCTGACCTGCTCTGGACAGATCCCTCCTGCTACAAAGGCCAGAGGGAGTGCCTGAGGCCATGTGCTGGAAGACCCACAGATCTCAGCAGTGCATAAAACAGGGCTGCACCGGACTCACTGTCCATTTTCTTCACTTTGTTTCTGTAAGATGCAGCTGCTGCTGTGTGGCTTGGAGATTATTCCTGTAGAGCACTGGCATTACTCATCTTAAATGCACACTGCCCTGATGAAAGCACCTGGCACATGGCAGGAGGACCTTGCAGCGCAAAGGCAATGAGGGAACTGAGTGAAAAACAAACTGCAATCTGCAGATTACCCAATTCACTTCTATACTTCTCTGTTCCTTTCCTCTCTGCTGTATTTGGAGCACGTGTCACCAGCTATGACCTTATGGACATTGCACCAGCCCTTTGGTGCTGCTGCAGTGGTGCAGGGCAGGCAGCTGCAAAGCGATTTCCTGGACTAGCTGAGGTCAGGCTCTCTTGGAGGTGCAGCACCCCATGTTTGCTGCCACTTGAACACTGACACACTGTGTGAGCTCGCACCTGAGACAGGGAGTTAGAAATAAAACCCAGGTGGACTCACGGAGCAGCTACTGATGGCCAGAAAAGCCAGGGCTGCTTTTGCAAGCTGATGCAGATAGGCTGTAGGCAAGGCTAAACAGAAATCAGGAGGTTGTCACTGTGTCATAGAATCATAGAATGGTTTGGGTTGGAAAGGACCTTCAGATCATCCAGTTCCAACCCCCTGCCATGGGCAGGGACGCATCACATTAGAACATGTTGCCCAAGGCTCTGTCCAGCCTGGCCTTGAGCACTGCCAGGGATGGGGCATTATCACTTCTTTGGCAGCCTGTTCCAGTGCCTCACCACCCTCACAGTCCTCAAGCCTTGCTTCAAAACTGGGGATTTAAAGCAGTTTCAAGTTTTAAGGAGATGCTTTCTTTCTGTGCCTTCAGGCCACTAAAGCCAGTTTTAGACAGCTCTTGAACCAGCCTCAGTCCCAGTTCCACCTTCTCCCTGCAGCCCCCACTTTAAAAAGGTCTAGTTCCTAAATGGACAAAATCTGGAGAAGCTTCTCCTATTGTTTTGAAAGAAATCCACAGGGAAGAGCCTTTCTCCAAGTGTTTCTTACCTACACATTTACATTTCAGTGAAGAAATGAGACATGGCACCCAGACCGTACACTGCAAACGCTGCTGCTGCTCTGAGTGTTCACTTGAAACCAAGCTTTGCTTTCAAGTTCGAGATGAGATGATTTTCTCTTCCTGCACACAGCTGCCGGCTGCTTCTTGAGCCATCTCAAGCGCAGCACGTTTCCTTTGCTGGGAGAGGGCAATTTCCGCTTTTCAAAGCTCTGAGACACTCCCTGCACCCCAGTGTCGGGGTTTAATCCCAGCCAGCAACTAAAAACCACACAGCCCCCCCATACAGCCTCTCAGAAGACCAAG